ATGTGAACATATCTTTAGGTTATGTCAATTTTTTATGGGGTGATGTAAAAATATCTTTACATCATGTCAATGCTGCATTACATGAAGTAAACACATGCTTCCATTATGTCGGCACTTTATAACTTGAAGACCAAAGTTCATTATGTGAAGTGAAAATATGTTTACATTATGTTAAAACTTTATAACGTGAAATGAATATTTCTTTATATTATTTCATTTCTTTAATATGCGAGGTCAAAATTGCATTACGTCAAGTTAATTTCGTTTTACATGTGCTCTATGATTTAATTTATCATTACATTAAGTCAAAGTCCATTCCCTTTTGTGAGTGTATATTTCTATTACAACAAAGCATTATTACGTGATGTCAATGTATCTTTATTTTAGGCCGAGGTCATCACAATGTGAGGTGAAAACATCATACCTTTATGTCAGTGCTTTATTACGTTAAGTAAAAAGGTTTTTAACATAATGTGAACATATATTATGGAGACAGTCCCGGCGTTCCATATTATATCAACACTTTATTACATTATGTCAAAACTCCATTCCTTTATGTGGATATTTAATAAGAATATGTTAACTCTTTCTTATGTGATTTAGAACTTTCTTTACATTGTATTAATTCTTTATCACGTTGATTACAAATGTTCATTACGTGCTGTAAAATACATTTACGTTATGTCAAAGTTGATAACAGTGTTTTCATGACTGGGAAGGGGGGGGGTCCTGATTAATTAGATACATTATATGAGAAGGGGGGGTCTGACTTCCTCTTTTTTCCGACATAACTTTATCATAGAAAATGTTCATTGAAATTCAGCCCCACTTTTTGCTGAAGTATAAGGGTAACGTAGTATATTGGGAAGTTTTTTTAGGACTGATCGAAGTTGGACCCCCCCCCCCTTCACCCGAAATAGGATTTTCGGGTTTGGATTTTTTTTTCTTTTTTTTTTTTGTACCATATTTTTTTCTGGCTGACAAACCTCCCCCAACCTTCAAAAACGATTCAACTTCACTGGAATTAGTCATTTTTCAACCATTCCAGGACCAGAATTCTGTTCCGAAAATCTACCAGTCCCTCACTTTAATCAACTGACCAATTGCCTTAGTAAACATGGGCTTATATCAGTGGCGATCTTGGATTCTTGAAAAGAGTAGCTAAAGGGGGACGATATGGTGAATGAGTTGGGGACCAGGGGATGAAAGCCCGGAAGCTCTCAGGCTTTAGATTTTTTTTTTATAAAACGTTTCAACTTATTTCAGTTATACTTTATGTAAAACTAATGCAATGTCCTACAAAATAAAATCAATTGATTAATTTCATGCATATTTTGGTCACTAAAGATGGGAGGGCGGGATCCCCCCTCTCCCCACCAAACCACCAGTGCACGTATGAAATACCATGTGTTTACACTTTTTTTTTTAAAAAAAGGAGGGTTAAAGACTGATAAAAAGCTTAGGACAGTGTTTTGTAGTTAGATCAGAAGTTTTGGACTTTTCAAAATAATTCAAAATAAAAAGAAAAATATTGTTGCATGACACATATTATTTGATTTGCGATATTTATATGAGATTAAATGGCCATTGAATTTCGACGTTAAAAAAAACAATCGTCAATAAAGATTCAATGGGAACATGATCCTATTTATAAATTTAACCTGATATTTAATTAAGGATTAATTAACTCTTGTGTATAATTTAATATTTGATATGTTTAATTTAAATTATTTGCATGTTTAACATATGTGCATGTAATATCAAAAACACAAAACGAAATTGTTGAAATATTCTAAGATATACTGACAAGAGCCTAAGCATTTTAGACACAATGTAAAGATACATTAGCATAACATAATGATTTGTCAAAAAGTAAGGGAAAATTGACAGTAATAGATTCCCGTCGTCATGTAGCATATTGATGACACAGTATAGTAAAGAATTGGCCACATGTGACATTTTTTTTCACATCATGTAATGAAATTCTGACATCGTGTTATAGCGACTTGATATTGAATTAAAGATAAATTCACATCATGCAATGAACTACTTAGACCAAATAGTAGAGAGTGCACATAATGTAATAATGAGTTGAAATTATATAAAAACACCTTTACACCACGTAAAATCGTTTTGACTTAATGTCATAAAGAGCTGATATAATGCAATGGAAGATTGGCGCAATGTAATTGAAGTGCGAGTTAATGCCATAAAGACTTAACATAATGTAATGGAAAGTTGACATAAAGCAATAGTTAGTGTGTGTAAATGTCATAAAGAGTTGACATAATGTAATGGAAAGTTGACATAACGCAACAGTAGTGTGTGTAATGTCATAAAGAGTTGACATAATGTAATGGAAAGTTGACATAACGCAATAGTAGTGTGTGTGTAAATGTCATAGAGACTAAACATAATGTAATGGAAAGTTGTCATAACGCAATAGTAGTGTGTGTGTAAATGTCATAGAGACTAAACATAATGTAATGGAAAGTTGAAATAATGCAATAGTAGTGTGTGTAAATATCATAAAGAGTTGACATAATGTAATGGAAAGTAGACACAATGCAATAGTACTGTGCGTAAATGTCACAAAGTGTTGACATAATGTAATGGAAAGTTGACACAATGCAATTGTAGTGTTCTGCTATAAGGCAGTGACGGCGTTCCATACTTTTCGTTTCCTAGTCATTCATTTTGTAACCAAAAAATACTCAGAGTTAACAATACTTTATGTTTCTAAATAAATACTCAATATTTACTTCTGGTGCTATTTGATACAAAATTATGTTTTTGCACAAAACAAGAGCGGTAATTCTGATGTCCAATGTAGCGGTAATTCAAGAAGTGTTCCCTACTTATTTTCAACCTGCGTCAGGTGACAAGAGACGTCATTTTTAAAAACACACATTTCTCAGTTCATATTTAATCCATTAGGGAGGTAATGGAAACAGGCAAAATAACAACATGATCTATATAGTAGACTGAATTTAAGGTATGTAAAGTTTCTAGAAATGAGAAGTACTTAAAGGCTATAGTTTCTTTGTCGGAATATTTTATATCTTTGCATTTTTTCCTGTAAACAGGGGCTCAATAACAATTCTCTTTTGGTAAAAATTATCTGTCCATTACCTTTCAAAGGTCAAGTACTATCATGTATTTTTAGAGGGAAGTATGGGCCTCGAAACTTATTTCGGGAAACATCAGACTGTCCTGTCAATATTGATTTAGTTTTCTTCAATTGCTCATACCTCAGCCAAATAGAGGCAGTTTGGATTCGGGTAGGGGCCCACAATCACACTTAAAAAATTATTTATTAAATCTTATTCATATTTTGGTTGGACAAAAAAGGGAGGGCTGTATCCCTTGAGTTCCCTCTAGATCCGCCAGTGGATCACATGATTGCCTATATTAAATCGATATCTAGCAGATACAGATTGTTTTAATGGATGACCTCTATCGGTTTTAATTTATATTTTGACTGGTTAGCGGTTTTATCTAAGTGGAACAATGAGAGTTCTACATATTTGTTTCTCTTAAACACTATAATGAATGAGCCGAAGGGCGTTATAGTATATTTGATCACGAACCAACATCATATCATATCCCTTTGAAACTTTAAAAAAAATAATATTTCATTTCTTATATCCATATTTTTATTTCTTATTTAAGGAAAATATGCACTATTTAGACTTTGTTATGGATATGCAACATAACTAGCTCTACAACGTTATCTAACGTCACAATCTGATCTTTCCAAATGGCTCGTGCAATTTGCTCTCCATTCGCAAGAAAGTCTGATCATGTGACCAGCTGCATGTCATTGAAAAGTGAATTTCAATTGAATTAGTATTGTCATCTAAGGAAAGATATCAGCAAATATAAATATAAAACAGAGTTGGTAATATTGATGAAAGTAAGCCCATCTAATTCAAACGCTTTTGATAGCTTTCCTAATAGAGGTTTAACATCATCTGGGTAACTTTTTATTTTTTGTTTACATTGTTGTAAGTTTTTTAACCCCAGGTGTTTCTTGACTCTTTGTATTTAAATTTTATAAACAGTGAACAGGACCTGTATTTTCTCGATTTTATCAAAAAGGGTGGACACAAGAGGTTTCAACTTGCAAGACTCTGAAGATGGATGTTTTGCTAAAAAGTGAACAATCTAAAATAAAAATTACCTTCCCCATATCTTGAAAAATAAAGGTGTGAAGTGATGTATCCAATATGCATACGGCAAAACCTTTTTCTGACAGTAAAAACAATTTTAACTCAACTAGATAGAATCTTAATTCAAAATTACTTACTAGGAGTAAGTTATTTCTTAAATAAATCTTTTAATTTTTCTTCAAACATCAGTATTGCACCTAGTCAAACCGGAATGAAAATACCTTTTGTAATATACGCATATTCAAGTTTATTAAACTAATTATTAATTAAACCAGAGCTACATATTTAAGTGGAAACTGTTTACCAAAGCTAAGAAAATTTGATAAAATTTAGGAAGACATGCTCCACAATTCACTTTACATTAAATAGGTACAAAAGCATGCCATCATATTTGCTTAACATTCAGCCCCTGGAATTTCGATGATGCCATTTTCGAGAAAAAGAAAAGGAAAAACAAAAGTATTATCTTTTCAAGAACAGCATTTCAAAAATTAATCTAATGATACGAAAGCAATTAAATGTATAATGATTTCATGTTTGTTAAATGTTTTGCAAAAGATATTTCTTTGCTCTATGCTTCAAATTTGACCTCAGAGATTCTGATGTGCCACTTTAGGGGGAAATAGAACGGGGAAAAAGCAAATGTACTATCTTTAGAAGAATAGTACTTTCAGAAATACTTACAAGAAAGCATTTGAATAAAAAAAAATCAAATTTGTCGAAATCATGACATTTGCCATGATATATTTTAGGGTCACTGACTCAGAACATTTAAATTTATATGTTACATTAATATCTAATTTTTCAATTTGCAGACGTGTAAAAGTAATGGATCCACAACACAGTGCCCAGGATGTTATTCGATGTGACCTTTGTGAAACTGCTGTTGTACAGATGCATTGTGATCTCTGCGATGTCAATTTATGCATACCTTGTATAGGGAGGCATGTTTCTGATGATTATGACAAACATAAAGTGGTTCCATTAAAACAACGAAAAACAACCTTGATCTTTCCGAAGTGTACAATACATCAAACCAAATATTGTGAGCTACAGTGCAAGGAATGCAATATTCCTGTTTGCTCAGTTTGTACAACTTCCACTCAACACAAAAAGCATGATTTCTTACTCCTTACAGAAATCTTAGATGCAAAGAAAAAATTTGTGACAAAGGATGCAAAAGAAATAGAAAGTAGTCTTTTGCCCACATATAAAACTTTAGAAATTGATATAGAAACTCGAATATCAAGTTTAGATGGTGATTACAGAAATCTTACAGAATTAGTGACGAAACACGGAGAAGAATGGCACAAAGAAATTGACAAAATCATAGAGGAAATGAAAAAGGAAATTAATGAGATGAAAGGCAAACATAAGAGCATTCTGCAACAACACCTAGATGAAATCAAGCAAGTACAGTCTCTTATGGGTGAAACATTGCTCACTCTAAAGAAAATTGAAGAGTCAAATAAAGTGATCCTGGCTTTAGAATACACCTCGAAAATCAATGAATTCAACACACTTCATCCCATTGTTCAAGTTTCACTACCAACCTTTACTACAGGCAATTTAAACAGAGAACAGATTTGCAAGTTATTTGGATCTTTAACACCCATATTGATCACAAGAGACGAAGAAGCCTTTAGAATTAACAAAACAGAGGACATAACTAAAGAATTACTGGAAGTACCAAAGCTCATTGCATCTATTAATACCGAGTATAATTTCATCTACGGTGTTACATGTACCTGTCTTAATGAAGACGAAATTTGGATATGTGGCAATACAGGTGATTTAAAATGCTTTAACATTCATTCTTCGCTAAAAAGGGTTGTCAAAACAAAATCAGAAAATTATGCAAATGATCTAACATTGAATCATTATGGGGACATATCGTATACTGATTCGACATCAAGGACCGTGAATAAAGTAAGGAATGGGCACACAGAAGAGGTGATCAAACTACAAGAATGGGATTCAAAACAACTTTGTTTCACCTCCTATGGTGATCTTCTTGTTACCATGTTCAGTGCAGAAAAATCACAATCCAAAGTTGTCCGTTACTCAGACTTTTTAGAAAAACAAACAATCCAGTTTGACGAAAATGGTAGATCTCTGTATTCAGGAAGTTTCCGCACTAAATACATCAGTGAAAATAGGAACCTGGATATCTGCGTGGCCGACTATGAAGCTGGCGCTATAGTGGTGGTCAATCGGGCTGGTAGACTCAGGTTCAGATACACTGGTCATAGCTCGAATTTTAAGAAACAACGATTTAAACCGTGGGGAATCACAACAGACAGTCAGTGTCAGATCCTGACATCAGACACTGATAACAAGTGTATTCACATCTTAGACCAGAATGGACAGTTCCTCCGTAATATAGATTTAAAAGAACCTACATGTGCGTGTGTTGACAAAAGTGATAATCTATTTGTTGCCGAGGATCGTCGCTCTGGAAATGTCAAGAAGATTAAATATTTCAGATAGTTACAAATTCAGAGTATTATACTATGTGCATTCACTTATCCTAGCTTTAGTTATTATTATCAAATCATATTTAGACAATAAACTATTTTTGCAAATACTCTCTGTAGTTTCTTCCTTACGGGATTCAATATCATATTTCTTATTTTCATATTTGAATACAAATACGTTTTGTTTGAAGTTTGAATTTATTTCTACGTACACTTGTATGTAGCTGGATTGTGATTCCTTGTATATTTTAGGTTTTCAAATGTAGACCGGTGCTATGGAGGACGATTTCCCACGGAATGACTACATTGGGTACGACCCTCCCCCTCTAGTCCCCCTGAAATTCCCCTTCCCCTTCTTTTCTATGAATATGATTCCTTTTTAGTGTTTTGCATCTTTTGTAAATGAATAATAAAGAATAAATATTAACCTAATTTTAAAAAACAATTACATTGTTTTTATCAGACCTGACAAATTCAGTATGAAAACTTAAATATTTTACTACAGTTGAGTCTCAACTAGAATTGTTAATCGGTTAACCGCAAAACGTTCCGACCGATTAATGGGTTAATCGTATCAAGATTAACATTTTGACATTTTCTATTCATATATACAAGAAGACTAAAAAGATGTTAGCAGTTACATTCTGTTTATTATTTTGATCGGGAAATTTTATGTACATAAGAGTATATTTTATTTTAATTTCAATAGACAAGATAAAAATTTGTAAGTAAACCATGAAAACCATTCTTGCTTGAGGAATCAGACATGGATACGTTTCCAATGCAGATGTTATAAAAGTTATTTCTGCATTGTCACAATAATCAGAACTTTGTCTGAATTCTCACTTTATTTAAAATTTACAACTTCTTTATAATAATTTAATTTAATTGATAACGGCACAATACAGACATACTATAATTAAGGTGCTTAACGGTGATGTTTTTAATATCATTAAAAGAAAAAACGCAAAACTGGGTAACGGCATGGTGTTATAAAAACAGTAATTAACACTTTATGAATTGATCAATTACTCTGAGGTCTCAATCTGGAGAGCTTTAATTACCTCCAAATATTCTTAATTAATTATACGTGTAAAAAAAAAACTCAAATAAACATCTTTGCAGCGCTTTCCCTTTTGAATCAGGAGAAGGAATTTTACGGAAACTTTGCTCAAATTTACATACATTTTATCATTAGAAAAACACAAAATTTAAGGAAGATAGGGAAAAAACAGTTATAAAAATCATAAGACTCCAATATAAACGCTTTTTCAGCAGAGCTGTATATGTACATGTCTGTTCACGAATTTAAATAAAATCTATACACGACCATCGTAAAAGATTTTATAATTGTTTACTCTATAAAAAGTCTGTATTGTAGATAGGGATCTATCTTTTTTACAAAATGTATGTTAGAAAATTCTTCACTTATATTATTCTATTATTTGTATCTGAATTATGTAGCTCTTCAATGGAAAAAGAATAGATTAAAGACGAAACTTCAAACCAAAAAAAAAAAACCAAACAAGAAATACTGCATTTGTAAGCAGAGGCATAGAAATGACCTTTTGACCCCGATAGTGTAACACTGCAATGGAAACGAAAAGCAAAAACTCTTTTAATGTAAGATATAAATGACCCATATTTATATCCCAGTAATCGAAGACAATAGTCATTGGACATGTTGGTTTGGGAATAGCTGCAGATCTGTATCGTTGTGGTTTTATATATTTGTCTTTGACTATAACGCTATAGATCCCGTAATGCAAAAAAAGCAGCAATTGACGGCGCAATATTTTATGCGCACTTTTGGAGAGAATTTCTCCACTTTCAAGCATCGGTCAATTAACTACCTTTCACTCCCTAATTCTAGGCACATTATTTAACAAATCTGTAAATTTTTTCCATCTCCCAAGTCTCCCGAGTCATCTATACAAGTGATAAACTCGCTTGATTGAAATTATTTGTTAGATTATTTGTTAGATTGTTGAAAATTGACTTCAAGCGAATTTATTGCCTGTGGAGACAACTATAAATGGTTGGGAGGCGGATTAAATATACATATTACATATTACATGTAGCTACAGAATGTGTTTAGAGTTAGGGAGTGAGATGTAGTTGATTGACGATTGCTAGAAATTGGAGAAATTCTCCCTACAAGTGAGCAAAAAATATTGCGCCGTAAATTGCAACATTTTTGTATTACGGGATTTGTACCGTTATGGTCAAAGACAAATATATACATGTAAATCATATAGCTACAGATCTACAGCTAGTTGGGAATTTTGTTCTAAAGAAATTGATTTTCACCTACTATGAGATGTAAACTGCAGAATTTTAATTGGAAAAAGCATATAATAGAAATTGAGCTCAATACATCTAAGCATAAGGTAAAATGTTGGACAGATACCTCTTATTTATTTTGTTTGCAGTCGATTTAAATTAGAATTTCAGAAAAAGTTACGATGAAATAATGTTACTGGATTTAAATAAATATTTTTTTAATTTAGATTTCTGTTTTAAATGAGCATTATTCAACTGTTAAATGGTCTATGTTGGGATCGGGTGCTACACAGAAAAGATTCTCTTTTTGTCAAAACGCAAATACTTAATTCAAGAAATATGAAATTTTCCACGTATCAAGAGCGATAACTCTGACGTTCACTATATCTGTAGACCAGGAAGTGATACCTACATATTTACAAACTATGTCATGTGATAAAAGATGCCATTTAAAACACACTGTTTCTAAATTCAATTTAACAGTTGGAAATCTAAGAGAAAAGATTATAGAAACAGGCAAAATTACAACATCATCTTAATGGTAGACCAAATATAAGGTGAGTAAAATCAGAAGTAATCAATTACAAAGGCAATAGTTTCTTGTGTCAGAATATCTCAAGTTCCTGCATGCTTCTTTACGTAAAGTTTTTATAAAGATTTTTATCTGGATTTGAATTGTCTGCCCATCATATTTCAAAGCATTTCTATAGCAAAGGACGCATCACAATACTTTCATTGGGAAAACATCTGACTGTCGTGTAGATATATTAAATAGATATTAGGATATCTGTTAGATTTCTTTAAATACAGATTGTTTAAATGGATTATCTTTAGCAATTTTACTTTTATGTCTTTGTTGGTTTAGCGATGGTATCTGACAAAAACAATGAGAGATGCTTATATGCATGATTTTTTTCTCTTAATTATTATAAAAAGGGGTAAACAAAATGAATAAAAATGTTAATATCTGACAAGACGAGTTTGAAGGAAATGAATTTAAAGTTAGCTCATCTGAATCCAAAACTTTACATAGTATTCTAAATATAGGTTTAACATCGTCTGGCCTCTTTTTGTTTAGTTTCATATGTTCGTTGATATTACTAGTATTTTAAACTCAAGACATATCTTGAATCTTTTTTATATAAACAGTAAAATAGACGTGTGTTATCCAGATAATTCTAAATCGATGGGAGTGAAGCGAGATGGGTTTAAACTTACAAGAATCTGAAAAAAAGATATTTTGTGGTTTTAAAGTGAAAAATCTCCATATCTTGAAAGATTAAAATGTGTAATGATGTAAACCATGTAGATACGCCAATGCCTTTTCAAACAGTAAAACCAATTGTAATTAAATTGGTTAGAAAAAACAATATTTGAAATTACTTATCTGGATTTATAAATTATTATCTGAGCAAATCTTTCTAAAACCTCAGTATCGCAGCTTGTTAAAATAAATTACTATATACCTCTCATGTATATATTTAAAATATGAAACAGAGCGATATGTTTAAATCAAAGACGATAAAAAAAGGTCAGTTTTAGGGAAAATAGTATCACAATTCAGCATATGCTAAATTGATAGAAAAGCGTATGTAAATAAATTTGCGTCAAATTTCAGCCCTGGGATTCAACTAATGCAGATCAAGGTTTAAAGCATTAAATGGAAAACAACAAAAGTTATATCAGACACTCTCACAAAATGCATTTCAAAAAATAGTTAACTGATATAGAGGCAATTGAATGTATATATAATGCTTACAAATTGTCTAAATTATGACATTTGTCAAGTTATGGTCACGAGCTACTAACTCAGTGGATTAAAATTTATCTTATATGTAAATAACATGTTACATCACAAAAAGTCAATTTCTAATCTCTCAATTTGCAGACTTCGAATGTCAAGTTAGGATTGTGAGTATGGAAATCTTACAGAATAAGTGACGAAACACGAAGAGGAATTGGACAAAGAAATTGACAGAATCATTAAGGAAATTAAAAATGAAATGAAGGAAATAATAGGAAAAAGCATTCTGAAACAACACTTTGACGAAACCAAGCAAGTACAGTCTCATATAGATCAAACATTACTCACTCTGAAGAAAATTAAAGAGTCCAATAAACATACCCTGGCTTTTGAATACACCTCGAAAATTACTGAGTTCAACAAATTTCCCCCCAAAGTTCAAACATCAATTCCAACCTTTACTACATGAAATCTAAACAAAGAATAGATTTACAAGTTATTTGGATTTTTAACATCTTTATCCATCAAAGGAGAAGAAAAGGTTACCGATTGAAAACATGGAGGCAACAGCTACAGAACTCCTGGAATTACCCGAACTTATTACGTCCATTTGTACTGGGTATAATTTCATCAACAGTATAACCTGTCTAAGTGAAGAGGAAATTTGGATATGTGGCAACACAGGCGATTTAAAATGTTTAGACAGTCAAAGTTCTGTTAAAGGGGCTGTCAAAACAACGTCACAGGCATCTCTAATTGATATAGCATTAACAGGTGACGGGGACCTAGTGTACTCTGATAGAGAAACAATGACTGTGAATAAAGTAAGAAATGGACAGATAAAAGAGATTTTCAGATTACAGGGCTGGAAACCTTTACAGCTTTGTGTCACCTCCTCTGGTGATCTCTTGGTTACCATGTACAGCAATGATTTCTCACAATCAGACTCCACAGAGAAGCAAACGATCCAGTTTTATGAAAATAAGCCCCTGTATTCAGGAATTGGCAACACTAAATATATCAGTGAGAACAGAAACCTGGATATCTGCGTGGCTGACTTTGGAGCTGGTGCTGTGGTTGTAGTCGATCAGGCTGGTAAACTCAGATTCAAATACACTGGTCATAGCTCTACTATCAAGAAACAACCATTCAAGCCATGGGGAATCACAACAGACAGTCAGTGTCAGATCCTGACATCAGACTGTCAAAATAACTGTATTCACATCCTTGACCAGGACGGAAGGTTCCTCTGTTATATACATAACTGTGATTTAAATTCCCCTACCGTTTTGTGTGTTGACAAAAATGATAATCTCTTTGTCACTGCGTTAGGCTTGGAAATATCATAAAGATTAAATACTGTAGATCACTTTTTGTTCGCGAGAACTTTATTTTTGCGTAATTACGCGAGACAGTGTCCTCGCGGAAATTAAATTCTCGCGTATAATAGTATTCCTTAAGATTATATAGAGCAATAACCAGAATCCGAGAAAATTTTGTCTCGCTAATGAAGAGTCAATGACAATCTCGCGAAAATAAAGTGTCGCGAAAATTAAGTGATCTACAGTATGACAGATAATTACATAGATCGAGTATTGTTTTCTGTATATATTTATTTCTATTTAAGCTCCTATTTTTTTTTAACATTTCAAAATTTAGACATTTTTTGGGAAAAAGATTTCTATTTTTTTTCAAATAGATGTGGCAAATCCATGTTAGTGAAAATCTTCGAGAATTTCCAAACAAACAAATTGAATAGATGTATTTTTCAGTTAAACAAAGAATACTTATTTCCTAGTTTTTACCAACTTAAATAAGAATGTTCTATGACTTGCATTTGAATGTTTGAATTCATTAATGTGTATGTCTAATTAATGGAGTACAGAGAATTTGTTGATATTTTTTTTATTAATACACTGGCTTCCACCAAACACATTTTGTAGTAAAATGTATGAAAATGTCAAATGTTGCATTAATTAGCTTAGGGAGTTGGATTGTGGTTCCCTGCACAGTTTATGTTTTAAAATGTATTATCGGTGTTGTAGAGAGAGAGAGTTCTACTATATAGAATGTCTACTATAATATACGATCCCAAACACACGGGGAAATCTCGCATTAGACCTCCTTTTCTGTCAGAAGGATTTCTCCTCAAATATCAATGATTCAGTTACATACATGACAAGAATTTTTAAAATGAGGTAAGTTATTGACAAACAAAGAAAAATGACCCTGTCAGAAAACACAATCTTCCATTCAGTCAAATGCGATTATTTTAGCTATCTGGTGCAAAATGTACAAGGTATTCCATTTTTAGGCTGCTTTGTACATTTATATGAGTATTTAAGTAGGTATAGTCAAATATCAGTACAAACGATAATTTGTAACGAATTATTTTTAAAAAAAAAAAACCTGTTTTACTAATGAAAAGAATATTAAGATTGTAGTGCTTCTTATAATGATTTAGTTGAATACTAGTAGTTACTAATACTAGAGGCCCATGGGACACAATACTTACCGGAGTAAATATGACCCTTCTTATATGTAAGCAGTTCTTTCAAATACTTTTGACGATTAATTGATTGATAAATAGATTGATTGTTTATTGGTTAACGTCCCTCTCGAGAATTTTTCACCACATGTCGATGAAGAGCTGCAAATTTTATCCTATACTTGACACTGAGGGCCAGTGAGCAGAGAGGGGGCTTTTTCGTGACAGCACCTACTGCGACACGGGTCCTCGGTTTATACGGTTTCATCGGAAGGACCGGTCTCCATGTCCCACAGTGGGATTCGAAACCATGGCGTAAGGATTGACTCATTTCTTGGCGATTCTAGATCAGACCTTTAACCACTGCTCTACGCAAGCAACTACTTTTCAAGAGGAACCGCAAAGGCATCATTATTCATAAAAATGCTTCCATACCATATACTCAAGTTTGTTCAATATGATGTTGCCATATAAAAACACCGGTAATTTATAATGACTTTGCTGTTCTTTATGTGAAAATTTTCAAACATCCCTCCTATGTTTTCCTATGAATTACTTTTGATCCAATGTTAGCCCAATCATACATTACATGGTTGTAAATTCATAAATTAAATAAATTAAATCTACAGTCAATAAAAGTATTTTAAAATAAAAAGGTAGGAAAACTTTTTTTATGCATAAAAATATGGTGTAATGGTCTAATAGAACGTATGATTTTAAAAACAGCCCTAACTGTATAACAGGTGCCAATTTATAGTTATAAAAGAATATGCAGAGCAAAGAATATGTTAGATTTGCTTGAATTTTGCCTCCTTGGGATAACAACCTGGAGAAAAATAAAATGTTCAATCTCACTGATTAATATAAGTACAGTACAGGCAACGCGGATCCCGTATTTCCCGCGTTTCCGCCGCGGTATAATCACAACGCGGTATTTGGCCAGGTAGACAGGTAAACCGCGTTCCCTCCGCGGGAAAATCATTCATCACTCCCAGAAAGCAGTACCTGGGACTGCTGTGGGTCCCCGCCGCGGTTAAATCATCAGATCCAGCTGTCCCTGGGACTGCTTTCTGGGACTGCTTTGTTCACTCATGTGTGAAAAAAGGTTCTGAGTCAGCTCCGCCCCCTTGTGTATTCTGAATTTGCAGGCCCCCTGTTGTTTTGTTTACTTGCAGCAGAGATGAGTTTAATCTGTTTAAAAAGCAAGGATTTCTTACAATCTTTTAATACGTAGAGATTATTATAGTTAATTAATATTTACCTAGACTGTATATTTACACAAATGTGGTTTAGAAAATTTTTTTTTAAAAATAAAGTTGTAAAAT